ACTACAGAGTTGGCGAAGCTTTTGAACAATCTTATCACTACAATTCACCTAAAATACATAATTGCAAAATCCACTACAGTTATTAGTTGTCAGGAACTTTCTAAACCTTTGCATGTACAACCCAATCAAGACCTATACAATTTTTATTTATTTTTTATTTCCACTAGCATCACATCTTTTATATTTATTGACATTGCTTACGATCTTGTTTCTTTGGCAATCTCAGGAATCAGATTAGAAAATATTTACAGCAAACCAAAAGTACTACAGTTTAATGATTCCCAGAGATTTTAATTTTCATATGTGCCTAATCTTTCATAGCAGGCAGTACTCTCTTTCAGTATTCTGTTCACTAAAGCACTATTCAGAGTTAGATAGAACTTGCAAGAAGCTTAGCAGAACCTTGTTCTTGAAAACAAGATTATATGTAGGTAAAGTAAAAAGAATATGCATAGATGCAGCATCTTTGATAATAAATACGCATGCATATGACCTTTTTTTGAAATAAAAAATTGTGGGATCTATGGTACTGATGTGTATGAAAAGAGCTCAGAGCCTCACTTCTGTGCTGGTAAGATGCTCAAAACTCTAATACTATCAGGGAGATAAGAGTTAACATGTTTCGCAAGAACCATTCCATAAAGGTCATCCTTCCATGCATTTTCCGGTATCTCCATTTTCATTGTTATAGTTGTTGCCAATGAGTGAACCTAATCAATTCAACCACAATACACCCAAGCAAACAAATAAATCATTACCAAATGAATGCCATCTGCACAGAAATGCAATAAAAAAGAAAAGCAAGTAATAAAAACGTGCTTCATATATTAAAGACTCACTCCTTTGTCTGTCCGGCTACTTCTAGCCCACGAAATTTTATTCAAATTGCCATAATTACTTTCACGAATCCCACCAGCCTCATATATAGCACGTTCCAATTCTCCTTCAATAGCTACACATTCCAAAACACCAAAAAAAAATGCCTATATTAAGACCCCATAAATATTTCATCTAAACCAATTAAATTACACAGCATAATCAATATATTCACATATAACACGTTACAGATAACTCTTTCACGATTCACAATTACGACTCAATATCAAAAATTTAACTCAGACTTAAGAACTTACTCAATAATGAATGCTGGTCATGTTGCTTTTGAAGACCTGAAATTCAAAAAACAATCTTTAAAGAAACAAAATATACACATGAAAAAACAGTAAAAAGCTAGAAAATTTAAGAAAATAACTAAAAAGCTGAAAATGTTTTCTGGAAATAGACCTCTATAATCAGTACCCACATAGCCAACCCGCAAAACAACCTTTTTCTTTCTAATAGATTCCCATTTTGAATGGAGGGACTGATTCGAGTTTGAGTCCGTTAAGGGAAGAGAAATGGACGGTGGAGATTGAGAGTAAGAGAATAGGAGTAGTAATTGAGTGTGTCTTGTAGAGGGTAGAATTGGAAATGAAAATCTGAAGGAGGGTTTTAGCTTTGGGGTTTTGAGGAGCAGCCATGGAGAGAGCGGGAAACGGAGAGAAGAGATTGCCATGGATGTAGAAAGACACGCAGCTGATAAGAAATGTCTCCTTTTAAGCTAGATAAAAATCCAAACCTAACTTTAACCCAGGCCCATAAACAGGAACAGGCCCAAGTTTCTTTTTTGAGCTAGAAAATATTCAAGCCATAGAAAATTAGTTGGTAACTTGGTATTATTATTACACAAGGTCCAGCAGGCAATCCTTCGTTAACTGACTTTTATTTAATTTTAGTTTAAACATGAAAGTTGTTTTTGATATAATTTAGTTAATTTAAAAATAATCTACTTAATTATTTAAAAAAAATATAAGAATAAAAAAATACAGGAAATTTTTTTAACCTAACTCATTATCTAATTTAAAATCTACTTAGTTATATTATTTAATTGACTTCATCGGTTTAAAATATTAGAAAATTTAAATAATTATTAAATAAAGTTTAAAGATAAAATAAAATTTTAAAAAATAATAACTAAATAATAATAATAAAAGAAACTCCACAAAATAGGCCAATATTTTTAGTAAAGAACATACGATTTTATTTTTTATAAAAGCTCTTAAATTTGACATAAATGTTTATATGTCAAATTTTATTTTTATTAAAAATATTACATATTTATATGGTTTTTATTTTTTTCATTTAATTATATACCTTTAAAAGTTTTTTTTCAATCCTGCCTACATATTATTATTGATAATTTTTTTATTGTTTGATTAAAATAAAATTAATTTATTAAATTTATTTGATACCATAACCTAAATTATTCAATACAATTATTTATTTAAAATATGATGATATTGTTTTTATATAAAAATATATAGACTCGAGGTGTAATACTGCTTAATAATTTACTAAAACTTAAAAAATCAAGAGGATATAAAACTTGATAAAAAAATTTTTCTTTATCGTTTTTACTATCATTTATGTTTATGACATCATTCTTTAAATTATTTAAAAAATCAAATATTATAAATTTTATATTTCATTCCAATTTAAAAGGAACGGTAAATTTCAAGATAATTTGAGATAACAACATGCAAATGTGAAGAAAAGTTAAAAGCTTTGCTCTATCTTCCTGTTTCCACCCTCCCTCCTCCTCTTCATCTTCCCTCGCCCCTTTTCGTTAAACCCTGTAAGCCTCCCACCCGCCTTCTCAATCTCCAAAAACGGCACCGTTAACACCACCGAATGAGCCCTACCGCAGCTGATAAGAAATGTCTCCTTTTAAACTAGATCAAAATCCAAACCTAACTTCAAACCCAGGCCCAGAACCAGGAACAGGCCCAAGTTTCTTTTTTTAGCTAGAAATAGCAGGTAACTTGGTATTATTATTACACAAGGTCCAGCAGGCAATCCTTCGTTAACTGACTTTTATTTAATTTTAGTTTAAACATGAAAGTTGTTTTTGATATAATTTAGTTAATTTAAAAATAATCTATTTAATTATTTAAAAAATATAAGAATAAAAATGAAAATAAATAACATGAATTTTTTTTTAACCTAACCCATTATCTAATTTAAATTTAAAATTAAATTTTATAAAAATTATCCTTATATTATTTAATTGACTTCATCAGTTTAAAATATTAGAAAATTTAAATAATTATTAGATAAAATTTAGAGATAAAATTAAATTAAAAAAATAATGACTAAATAATAATAATAATAATAATAATAAACGCTCCTCAAAATAGGCCAATATTTTTAGTAAAGAGCGTACGATTTTATTTTTTTATAAAAGCTCTTAAATTTGATATAAATTTTTATATGTCAAATTTTATTTTTATTAAAAATATTACATATTTATATAGTTTTTATTTTTTTCATTTAATTACATACCTTTAAATTTTATTGTTTGATTAAAATAAAATTAATTTATTAAATTTATTTGATACCATAACCTAAATTATTCAATACAATTATTTATTTAAAATATGATGATATTGTTTTTATATAAAAATATATAGACTCGAGGTGTAATACTGCTTAATAATTTACTAAAACTTAAAAAATCAAGAGGATATAAAACTTGATAAAAAAATTTTTCTTTATCGTTTTTACTATCATTTATGTTTATGACATCATTCTTTAAATTATTTAAAAAATCAAATATTATAAATTTTATATTTCATTCCAATTTAAAAAGTACGGTAAATTTCAAGATAATTTGAAATAACAACATGCAAATGTGAAGAAAAGTTAAAAGCTTCGCTTGCTCTGTCTTCCTGTTTCCACCCTCCCTCCTCCCCGTCATCTTCCCTCTCCCCTTTTCGTTAAACCCTATAAGCCTCCCCGCCCACATTCTCAATCTCCGAAAACGACTCCGTTAACACCACCGAATGAGCCCTTCTCTCCTCACTTCCTCTCCTTCCGCTTCTTTCCTCTCCCCTCTCCCTTTCAAACTCACTCCTTCCTCTCTAACCCTCCCTAAACGCCACCGTTTCCGCGTCTCCTACCCCCGCAGCTCCGCCGCAGAGTACCCTTCCGCCATCACCTTAGAATCGAAACCCGATGATCTTTTTGGAGGAAAGAGAGAGCTATCAGGAGCTCAATCTATAGTAAGTAATCTCTCGCCAACGCTAAGACTTGCGAGCTCGGCGGTAATTCTAGCTGGTGCTTTAGCTGCTGGGTATGGTTTAGGGATTAAGTTCGGTGGTGGCTCTCGGAATTTGAATCTTGGTGGTGCTGCTGTGGCTGGAGCAGCTAGTGGGGCTGTGGTTTTTTCGTTGAATTCGGCTGTTCCCGAGATTGCCGCCATAAATTTGCATAATTATGTTTCTGGGTTTGATGACCCTACTAAAGTCAGTAAAGAGGAGATTGAAGGCATTGCTAAAAAGTTAGTTACTTTAATTTTATTTTCGTTTAATTGTTAAAGTTTGTATTTTTATTGCTTCACTGGAAAAAAAAGGTTGTGCTTTTGAGTTAGCGTTTGGTTTTTTGTTGGTTAATGTTTTGGTGTGTTTTATTTACGCTGGTTATAGTTAGGATCGTGTGTGCAGAGTGTGAATTTTTTGGTGAATTGCAATAGGAACTATTTTTCTGGAGAGTATAAAGGGTTTTTCTTTTTGATGGAATTGGTGTTTTTTTAGCTCATTTGGTGCTTAGTTACTTGAGTTGTTAGTGTGTTTAGTTACTCTTGTTAGTTTTTGAAATTTCTTTGTGAATGTTGAATGTTGCAGGTATGGTGTGAGCAAGCAAGATGAGGCATTTAATGGAGAGCTTTGTGATTTATACTGTCAGTAAGCTGGAATTGGTGTTGAGTGTGTTTTTTTTAGTTCGTTGAAGAGTTTGCTTTTGGATCTTATTTTGATCCTTTGTTAAGATTTTGGTTATTTTACCTTGGTTTAGGTTTGTGTCTTCTGTCCTTCCTCCTGGGGGTGAAGAGCTTAGAGGGAATGAAGTTGACACAATCATCAACTTCAAAAATGCTTTGGGCATGGATGACTCAGATGCAGCTAGCATGCATGTGGAGGTATTTTTATATTATATGAGCTAGATTTATGCACGTGAAGAATGAGAATGCTTATGGTTATATGTGATGTGAATTTGAGAAATGTTCCCCTAAGCTGCTATTTTGTGCACTGATTGCAGCTTGGGAGGCGGATTTTCAGGCAAAGGCTCGAAACTGGAGATCCTGATGGTGATGTAGAGCAACGACGGGTAGGTCATTTGTAGTTTTGATAGTTTCTGAATCTGGAGACATTGGTGTGTGACAATTTTGAGTGAAGATATGGAGCTTGACCATTATTACTGATTCTCCAGCGCAGGCATTTCAGAAATTGATCTATGTTTCAACTCTTGTTTTTGGAGAAGCATCGTCATTTCTTTTACCTTGGAAGCGTGTTTTCAAGGTCACTGATTCCCAGGTGGTTATTTATCAACTGTTTCTATTCTGTAGTGAACAGTTTCTTGTCAACAGTGACATCAACTGTTTCTATTCTGTAGTGAACAGTGTCTTCTGGAGTGAACAGTTTCTTGTCAACAGTGCAATGTTTTCTCTCCTTTTTTACATAGTCAAAATTCAACGTGCATTGAACCTCAAAATGCATACCTTTTGGTATTCATTCTTCCCAGTTTGTTGATATCATCTTGTTTGTCTCAACCTTTTAATTCTTGTTATTATTCTAATCTGTTAGGTTGAAATTGCTATCCGTGATAATGCCCAGAGGTTATATACTTCAAAGCTAAAATCAGTTGGAAAAGGTAAATTTAACATAAATTAAGGTCTTTAATGTTACTTTATTTTGTATTGTGATTTGTGAACATCAAGCTGTTTCAGCTATTGTCAACTTTAATCTATAGCTAGATTGTGCTCTGCAATTTAACTTTCATCTATAACAGAGGTGTGCCATGTTCTTGCACTGTAATAAGTGATATCCTTAATCATTGGTTATCAGTAACAACTAATCTACTTGATTAGTTAGTCAATACTATTCAATACTCTAGTTATGATTTCAGAGCGATTGATGTTTCTCTTCTTTTAGAATTCTGATTAGAACTCTGTCAGGGGTATGTGCTGCGGATGTGGGGTTGAAGTGCTTAGGCATGAATAGTCTATAACTTTGTATGTAATCTTCTTCATTAGATTTATTTAAAAAGACATGCTTAGATTGATCATTATACTAATAGCAAGTATTGAGAATGAGTTGAAAATTCTTTTTGCTTTGTTTCACCTTTTTTAACACATGTTCGTTTGCTTTCCCCAAATAGATATTGATGTGGAGCAGCTTGTTAACCTCAGACAAGCGCAGATTTCTTATCGACTTTCTGACAAGGTTCCTTCTCAACTTCTCATTGATAGTCCTTTTGTGTTTTGGTTCTTAATTTGTTCTTTATGTGGCATGCGCTGTTTCTGACAGCTTGCAGAGGACTTGTTTCGGCAGCATACAAGAAAACTGATTGAGGAAAATATTTCAGCAGCTCTTGATAGATTAAAATCAAGGACGAGAACAGTGTATGATCCTTACAACATGGCTCAAATTACAGCTTCTGAATGTCTTACTGACATTTTTAATTATTGAATTTAAAAAATAGACTGGATATTTGATATGTCAAAGAATTCCTTTTAAAAATAGACTGGATATTTGATATGTCAAGGAATTCCTTTTTAGAACTTTTGGTCAACAATATCATCCATACTTGCAGTTATATCATTTGCACCATCTAATTAAATTAGGTTTTACAGCCAAGATGTTGTGAAAGTTGTGGAAGAGCTTGATAAGACATTGGCATTCAACAATAAGCTTATTTCATTAAAGAACCATACAGATACAGCTTCGTTTGCCTGTGGAATTGGTCCAGTTTCTGTACTAGGTCTGGATCCTAAGGAGTTCTTGCTTTTAAGGTTTTCTTAATTTAAGTTTTTGACAGCTCATTTTTTAGCTGGCTCTAAAGCTTTGTTCCTTAGGTGGTGAGTACGGTAGTGAGAGAAAGATAGATGACTTGAGGCTCCTTTACAGGGCATATATAACAGATGCGTTATATGGTGGTCGCATGGAAGAACATAAGGTGATGCATCATGCATTGCACTTTATTGATGTGTGTATTAGAAATTTGTGTTATTGATGCTTGATATCTACCTTTTCATCAGGTTCTCTGTGTATTTGTTTAGGTCATAATCTCCTTATTACTTTATTTTTTGTAGCTTGCTGCTCTAAATCAATTGAAGAATATATTTGGTTTAGGTAAGAGGGAGGGAGAATCAATTATGCTTGATGTTACTTCAAAGGCATATCGTAAATGACTTGCACAGGCTGTTTCAAGTGGTGATTTAGAATATGCTGATAGCAAAGCAGCCTTCCTACAAAATCTTTGTGAGGAGTTGCACTTTGATCCAATGAAAGCCACTGAGATTCATGAAGGTAATAAATATTGTTTAGTACCATATATATGTTTTAAATCTCATCTTGAGACCTTTGTACAATTATCTTGAAGATTTTTTTTTTTGTGCATAGTGGAACTAATGCCTCCCTTTACATCCTGAAATTTACCGGGAAAAGCTTCAGCAATGTGCAGCTGATGGAGAGTTGAGTGACGAGGATGTTAAAGCATTGACCCGTTTGAGAGTCATGCTCTGTATTTCTCAGCAAATTATTGATGCAGCTCATTCTGATAACTGTGGCAGTTTATTTGAAAAGGTAATCATTTTCTATATAAGATCTATGGCTATGATATGGCAATTTTCCTCAAGTCTATCTCAATGGTTCATTTGGTTCCTCTTCCCAGTAATGCCCCTCCATCTTTTTTTAGGTGGTTTCTTGTTGCATTTAGGATTAAAGTGGTCAATGGGAACTTGGAGATGTTTATATCATGGGATGGGTCTGTTTTGAACATTATACATGCATTTAATCTGTGTTCAAGGGAACTGTGTTCAGGCTCTTCCAAACTGCATCTTATATTTTGTGGGTTGACAAGGACTTGGAAGTGTCTATACTAATGTAATGGGGATGTATGGAATCTACTGAGGGCCTTATTACTTGGCATGGATTATTCTCTAACTTTTCTATTACTTCCTAACTCATTAAGGGCAAGGGTCTACCCCTACTGGCTGCCTGCTGGTGGGGCGTCTCCTCTAACTTCATGATCTTAAATATTTTGGATATAAGTAGAATTTCCTATCTTAACTGAAATGAAGATATATTATATTACCTATCTACTATAGGATTTAAGTTGCATGATGCTGATTGCTGAATTGCTGCTCAACTTAATCAATTTATGGCTGATGCATGGCATTGTTTTTCAGGTGGTTAAAGATGCAATTGCATCAGGGGTTGATGGCTATGATGCTGATGTTAAGAAGGCTGTAAGAAAGGCTGCTCACAGCTTGCGCTTAACACGGGAGGCTGCCATGTCTATTGCTGGCAAGGCAGTGAGTGTACACTTCTACTACCTGGCACCTATGGTTTAGATCAAACATAATTTTCAAATTAGACATGTTTCCTTCTGCTCAAAAACTCTTTCTTGTTGAAGGTCCGAAGGATTTTCTTAAACTACATAAAGCGAGCACGGATGGCTGAAAATCGCACCGAGGGTGCTAAAGAACTAAGGAAATTGATTGCCTTCAATTCCTTGGTGGTGACTGAACTGGTGGCTGACATAAAAGGGGAATCTTCTGATCCTCCACCAGAACCTAGTAAGGTGGAAGAAAATAAATTTGAAGAGGATGAGGAATGGGGGTCCCTTGAGACACTTAAGAAAATAAGACCTGGTGAGGAGGTTGCTGCAAAGATGGGTAAGCCTGGCCAGACAGAGATAAACCTTAAAGATGACCTTCCTGAAAGAGATAGGACTTACCTATACAAGACATATCTACTTTACTGCCTAACTGGGGAAGTTACCAGAATTCCATTTGGTGCTCAAATCACCACAAAAAAGGATGATTCAGAGTACCTCTTGCTGAATCAGCTTGGTGGAATTTTGGGTTTGACTGTGACGGAAATTGTTGAAGTCCATAGGAGCCTAGCTGAGCAGACTTTTAGGAAACAAGCCGAGGTAATTTTATCTGATGGACAATTGACAAAAGCCAGGATTAAGCAGCTCAATGACCTGCAGAAGCAAGTTGGCTTGCCACCCGAGTATGCACAGAAGGTGATAAAGAACATTACTACTACAAAAATGGCAGTTGCTCTTGAAACTGCTATCAATCGAGGGAGGCTTAATATGAAGCAGATAAGGGAGCTCAAGGAAGTAAGTATTGACTTCAACAGCATGATATCTGAAAACATGCGAGAAAACCTGTACAAGAAAACTGTAGATGAAATTTTCTCATCAGGCACTGGGGAGTTTGACGAGGACGAAGTTTATGAGAAAATCCCAGAAGATCTTAACATTAATGCAGAGAAGGCTAAGGGGGTTGTCCATGAGCTTGCACGAAGTAGACTGTCAAACTCACTGATTCAGGCTGTGGCGCTGCTAAGGCAGAGAAATCAACAAGGAGTGGTATGTATTTTTGATTCTTCTATTTAAAAATACATCTTTCATGCAAGAGGGAAATATTTAGTCTGAGGTCCTTTTTAACCGCTTTTGTAGGTTTCTACTCTTAATGACCTGCTGGCTTGTGATCAAAAGCTGTGCCTTCTGGGCCATTGACATGGGAGGTGCCAGAGGAGTTAGCTGATTTGTACACCATCCACATGAAAAATAACCCAGCACCAGAAAAACTGTCACGACTGCAGTATTTGCTGGGCATTAGTGATTCAACTGCCAATACTCTTGGAGAGATGAAAGATAGAGTGCTCCCAGTTGGGGCAGAGGAAGAAAAGTTTGTGTTCTAACTTTTCAACACGATAGTATTTTTGCTCCCAAAAGGAAAGGTATTTGCTGGGCATAAGTGATTCAACTGCCACTGCTCTTGAAGAAATGAAAGAGTGCTCCCAATCGGTGCAGAGGAAGAAAAGTGTGTTCTAACTTTTTAACACGATAGTATTTTTGCTCCCAAAAGGAAAGGACACTTGGCATATTAGGAAACAGTATGCCTGATGCAACTAGATGATGAAATTTTGGTAGCTACAAAGAGTGCTAGAAATTTGTTCAGTTAGTATATGAATGTTTGTTATCTTTAATGTATAATAATTTGCTGATAAATTTTTTTTCGATATTTGTTTCTCTTCTCACTTGGCATATTAGGAAACAGTATGCCTAATGCAACTAGATGATGAAATTTTGGCAGCCACAAAGAGTGCTATAAATTTGTTCAGTTAGTATATGAATGCTTGTTATCTTTAATGTATAATAATTCGCTGATAAAATGTTTTTCGATTTTTGCTTCTCTTGTTTCACTCTTGATGGTTGCGATCCTTGAATCTTTCAGTTGTTATCAAGTAGTGTTGAATGGATTAATGATATTAGTTCTCTGCCAAAGCCAATGAATCGAATGAAGTTCAGTCTATGCTTGTTTTGAATGGTTGGTTCCATTCATCCATATTGATCACTTGTTTATTATTTGGGGAGGAGAAGCAACTCAACAATAGCATTCTTTATTCTGTTTGTCTGTCAACATTGAGATGTTGCTGGTGGGACGGCGCCAAGACCTTTGCTTGTGTTGAACGTCTTACATGTTTAGGCAATGCCCCGAACAGTCAAGAAGGTACAAAATGGTATCAATTTTCAGAAGAGGTTCTCATGTCTTGCCAATCCTTGTCAACTTTATCCACACCTCTTGCCTCTCAGAATTGGGATTTTGTCCCTTTTGGTCAATCCTCAACTTTCCCTTAGTGATTTAACCCCTTAAATTTGTGGCTTGTCGACCATTGAAATCTAATTAACCTAAGAAAATCCTGTAAAACGATGATTTTATTTTCAGAATTTTCAGTCAAAACCCGAAGGATGTGCTCCCTTATAAGCACTAGGGCTAATCCTAAACCTTAATATCTCAAGCTCTGAGAAATAAGATTATCATGAATCGTCTAGTTTGCTTTAATATGGAAGGCATGCATTGACCTTCATTAAAGAGATGTATTTTGTCTACGCGTGCAAGGACAGACGTGAGAAAATGACTTGGCTACAAAATCAAACCTTGGTCTCCAAGTAATTGTTATTTCTTCAAATAAACAACCACTTTCGACTTACATTGTGTGACTGTCATTTGGTGGTGAGTTAGAGGAATATTAGAAATTAACTTCAAATCCTTAACATGTCAAGTATAGTTGTAAAATACGAAATTTGTTACTCATAACTCGTGTTGTAACTTAGAATGGGCTTTAAATTGAGCTATAAATAATATTTAGTGAAATTTAATTGAGTTGGCTGAATTAACATGTGATCTTATGACCGAGTTAATATCAAGAATTTTTTTTATATGGGTTGACTTGTTTGGTTATGATTTCACCAATAACTTAATTATAGAGATGTTTTAGTGTCAAGTTCATTGGGGCAGTCGTAGTGACATCATGATGGCCTCTTTTTCCCATGATGATGTGCTGCTGACATTATCGTTCCTGAGGCTCACAAAATTAGCGACGGAAGTGAAGTAGACAGGCTGGGTGGTTCCCAATTAATCAATGTGCCACAACTAGAAGATAATTTTCTCTAAATAGATTAAATGTATAGCCTAATATAATATATGTATTTATAAATTATTAGAACAAGTTTAAAATCTAAGAGAAAGTTTGATCACCAGAATAATAACTTAAAAACGTTACAATGTTTAATTTGACTGTTAAGTTAGGTTAAAATTTTACAAGAGATTTTAGTTTTTCTATAGAATTTACTATTTCACTATATACTATCATTTCTTTAGATATTAAAAATCTTACACATACACTTGGTTTTAATAATTTTGTTATTTTTTAAATTATTTTTTAATTTTATATATTATTTCAAATTTCATGGTTATTTTGTTTGTATTTTTAGATTTTTTATTTATTCTATCTATTTAAATTTTTGTAAATCTTTATAAAAAAAGAAAAAGAAGAAGCAGTCTTTATCAGTATTACCTTTAAAGAAAATAAAGTTGAAATACATTTTTTGCTCATCAAGTATAAGCGTTCTATCTGCATCAAAAAGTAGAGCCAGATACAAGCATTGTCGTCAATATTTACTGCTGCACTTTATCTAATAGGATTATCTTTCTCGTCCCCCGATTCTACTGCGTGGCTTTAGGCAGGCAGTTCGTCGCAAGTTATCATCATCTCAAGTTCAAATTCAAGGGATCGTTGTGGGAAACAAATTTCTTGTAAATGTATACATCAGTGCTGAGTGTGAAATAATCTGTCGAAAACCCA